ATAAATACACTTTAAATATGACTTGATATCATTGGGTAGAAAGATCCTAGTGTAATAATAACTTAATTTTTATCACTACAAATAACAACTTTAACAAATTTTAAGCTTTTTTTATGGGTTTCAAAAGGAACACCTTGACCAAATTATGTGGAAGTAAAACAATTGTCTTATCATTTTCTCTTATTCTCTCTTTGATTCAAAATGTCCAAAATGATTGCACTTCTTTTATAAAAATATTTTTCTTTTGTATTTTAATCTGTCTCCTTTGTTGCCTATATGAGGCCATCACTAAGGATGCCGGGTTACGGGATTTTTACTAGTATCTTATTGAAAGTAGAAAGTAGAAGAAATACACTCCACAATAATTTTCTCAGGAATTACTGGAAGAAACGATTATATTGGTACAGCGACGGGGGTGGACGCAAAATCAAATGTCAAAATTTTAAAGTTCATACTAGTAATGTGTTGTTCCTCGTAAAAATAAATAGAAAAGCAAATAAACAAAAGAATAGTAAAGAATAATTAGTTAAAGATGAAGATGAAAAAGTACAAAAATGTCACTAAAAATATGAAGAGTTTGAGACGAGGGTGGATCAATTATTATTTTTAAGATGTTTCGTATCATTGATGTAATAAATTTTTATGGTCATGTCATTTTTAAAATACAATAGTATAATTTTTTTGTTGTATCTTTATAATTACTGCACTTTTATAAAGAAAATTTTATCCCACTACCTTTTTCTTACCCAAAGAAAGTTTAAATACTGTATTTACAAAATAAAAATACAAAATATAAAAATTGTATCAACCTTTTAGATAAAAATAAGGACTGCCTATTTATAGACTTCTAAAATGTAATCGAAAAATAAAATGCGAGATTATTATGAATTTAAAATAAATTTTATCGATTACAAGATTGAAAAAGTTGATAAATAAATTATGCATCTTGTCGATTAAAAAAAATATAATAATAAAACAGTAAATTATAATGTTAAAATATTTAAATTTATTTAGAAACGCCACAAACTCATTCTTAGGTCTCGTTTGGTATAGTGATTTTGGGGTAACGGTTAATGATTTTACCTAAATCGTTAAATATAGGTGTTTGATAAATTTATATATTTCGAAACCTCTACAACTAAAATATTTGGTAAAATTTTTATTTAGCGGTTTGAGATTAGCGGATAGCAGTTAAGATCCAAATCGCTAGCGAATTGAAAAAGCTAGTTTATGTAACTTTTTGTACCAAACCGTTAACGGATTAGAATTTTTTAATTTTATTGACAAATTTATCCATTTTAATTTTTTAATTTGTGGTCACATTTTTTAATTAATA